TCTCCAGTATTCAGTCTTTTTTTTATTCTGCAAAGGAGGATTATTGATTTAAGGCAGTCAAAAGTACTTTAGTGGGATGAGAACCCCAGGACCAGGTTAATTGACAAGCAATATCTCTAAAATGAGTAGCCAGGCAATGTGCCGGGGTATTACTCAACCTCCTAATAAAGTGATATGAAACAGAGGTAAAGTCTGCCCTTATTCTTGGCCCATAACCCAACCCAATTCAACTTGTCAACAAAGCCTATCTGGATGCCCAGTGCATGGCCCACACCAAACCCACTTCAATAAAGCCCACATCTTCCAAAATAGGTATGATGGTCTCTTCAGTTTGTTCAGCAGCAAGAGTTGCAACTTGTACAGCTATTGGAATAAGTTTTGCTATTGGTGTGGATGCCTCTGTTTCTGTAACCTCAGAAACTTGGAGTTCTATGTGTTTGGCTCAACAACCACTTCTGCAAAGCTTCTGTTATTCCATGGGTATTTACACCTCTTTTAATTTGGGGGCTTATCCGGTAGTGGGTTGAGGTTTTCAGCATTGGTTGCCAGAGAAGTAACATCTGTTAGATCATCTTGCAAAAATTCATTGAAATGAGAGCAAGAGGATCATCAATAGACAGGTGTCAACATTATCTAGTATTATCAGCTTCCCCACCAAGAAATTATAACAATAGCTAGAAAAACACGTACCAAAATTAGACCAGAGAATGGAGAAATGAAAATTTCTAACCATGATGAGCTTGAATTAACTTCAAATCAAATTCTGTCCAATCCGCAATAGCAATCCCTGTTATCTTGCTTGACAGAACAAATCACCTCAGCCGGTTCATTCTAGCCCCCAATCCCTAATAGACATTGTGATAGATGTTAGTGGAGATGAGGAGAAGAATAGAGAAAATTATTCTACTCATCCAAAGATATTGGTAAATGCAGCTGAATTGTCCAACCAATAATCATAAACCCTGAATTGATCCCATTATTTGTAAATTCCAAGTAAAGCAGCTGATAAAATTGGGCACACCTTCATGGCCCAAATAGTCGTGTCTTTCAAATATCAGAAAATAAAACTGGAGCAAAATCTACAGATTATCTGCTTAGCTTCCATAAGGAAAATTAACATCCACAAATTTCGGTACATGGCCCACTAACCCAATTCCATAGAGATCAATTAGGTACAAATTGTTAAAAACACCAACGATAAGCTCCAAACAGAGAATTCTTACTGATCTCATTTGGGAAATTCCCTAATTACATGTACATGATGAGGGCAACTTCAGTTGCATAGAAAGAAATTAATTGGATACAACAGCGTCTAAAATATTCTATACATTTAAACAAATATGCACTTCCAATTCAATATTTGGAATTTTATATGCATTTCCAATCTAAAATATTCTATATTCTATATTTCTTTTTTTTTCTAGTATATATATATATATATATCATCTAATTACTCAACTATATGCCAAGAAAGATTAAAACGTGTCTATATTAAAGTTGCATTTAACAAAATATTTTTTCACTTGTCATTTTGCTAAAAAAATGGAAAAGTACGGACAGATCCAATACAGATTTCTGATTTCCACTGAGCTATAAACATTCAAAATGTCAAGAATCCACACTCTATGCATCAACGCTAGCCCATGAATTAACATCAATTCCAAACTGACACCTACTCCAACAGTACTTTGGGCCTACAAATTTTGATCCTGGACTAAATTATCATTCTCCCTAAAAAACCCAAGCAAATACATTATTTATAGATTTTTTTGAAAACTGTAAGGTAAATTATTTCATTAATAATCTTTAAAATCATACAACTATGCAAACCCTTGTACAAAGAGAATCTGTACAGGAAGGAAAAAAAGAATACCGATCTACCCAACAATCAGCCCCACCCAAAAATTATGAGCTCCTATCAAAAAGGAAATCTTGCTCAAAATAGAACATGATTGTCTATTTTTGAATAATGAGTGGTTTTCCAGCCATGAACGTATCATTCCTACAGTCCTTTTAAAGACCTCTTCTTTTGAACTTTATCTATCTTCAAAAATTCTATTGTTTCTTTCATACCACACTGCCCAAAATACTGCTGAAGGGAGTATGTTCCAAGCTTGTTTTCCAGCCCTGCTTAAACCAGTTAAATACCAAGCTCCCATGAATCCCTTCACATCAGACGGGAAGAATGTATGAATCCCAAACAAGCTCATCAACCTTGTCCAAATCCAATGAGCGAATTTACAGTGAATTATTATATGTCTAGAAGTTTCTTTCATACCCATTGCAGAGAGTGCATGCCATATTTGTCACCTCCATTCCTCTCCTAACTAAATTGTCCTTAGTCAGGATCTTGTGTCCAACATCGTAGACCAAATAAAGAAATCAAATTTGGAAGGATGAAGATTCCTTCTGCTTTGAAAGGATGAAGATTCCTCCCCTAACAAGCTGTTGTAAAAAGATTAGGAAGATCATGATTTTTCAAATACCTATTTTCTTTTGTCTTCCCCTACTCCAGTTGTACCTGAATCATATAGAACCTGGGGCAAACTGACCAAGGAATTCGCCTCCCAATCATTTAAGTTTTGCCTGAACTAGGGGTTCCAAATACAAAACCCATTTTGCCTCTCCAGATAATCTACCACTGAAGCATCCTTGTTAGTAGCAATCTGAAACAGGTCTGGGAATAGAAACATTAATGGTCCATTCCCACACCAGTAATCCTTCTAAAAAGACACTTTCTCTCCCCATTACCAACTTCATATTTTATTCCCTTCATGAACTAAGCATAGAGTTTCTGTATTGCCTTCCACATTGAACACCTAAAGGCCAATCTTATTTCATTTGTATTCCATTCCCTGTTATTGGAACCACACTTGGCTATGGTAATTTCCTCCATTGACTATCCGGTTGTTCATTGAATCTCTACAACCACTTCCCTGACAAAACATTGTTGACTTGCTTTATTGATCTAATCCCCAGACCCCCATTAGCTCTAGAACAACGAACTTTTTTTCCAATTTACCAGATGGCACTTTGACTCCTTCCACCCCCTCCACAGAAAGACTCTCATCTTTTTTTCTAACACAGCAACCCTATTTGTCAAGATTAGGAATAGAGAAAGATAATAAATTAACTAGAAGGGAGGATAATACGCTTCTAATTAAAGTAACTTTACCCCCTTTTGATAAGTATTTGGTCTTTCAAGAGGCCAATTATTTACTTTAACATTCCAAATTTGCTCCTAGGAAGTGTCATAGAAAAAAAGAGTGTCGTCTGCAATGGAGCAAAGAAATCTCCACTTCCCCATTCTCTACTTTGAATCCTTCCATTAGCCCTCCTTGCCTGGCCCTCTCTATAGGTTTGGCAAGTGCTTTTTTGTCACACACATAAAGAAGAGTGGGGAGAGGGGGTCCCCTTGTCTTAGACCCCTAGAACTCCAAAACTCCCCTAAAGAACTCTCGCTCACCAATACTAAAAAAGATGATGAAAAGAGGCACACTTTTATTCAATTTCTCCATTTCTCATCGAAGTTCATCCTCTTCAACCATAGGCTTTCTCCATATCCACTTTGCACAACAGCCTCGCCCATCACTTTTCCTCCTTGAGTCTATAATTTCATTTGTGCTTTAGGATTCAACAATCAAATTTGATACCACTGTTGCCATTCTGTTTGCCAAAAGTTTTGCTAATATCTTATAAAAGCTACTCACAAGACTGATGGGTCTAAAATCACTCAACTTCACTACCCCACTTTTAGGAATTAAAGTGATAAAAGTGTGGTTTAAGCTTCTTTAAAGCGCATCATTTTCAGGAAACTCTCTTAATGCATTCATTACTTCTTGTTTCACTACTCCCCAACATTTCTTATAAAATAGCATTGTATACCCATCAAGACCTAGGGCCTTATCCCCCTCCAAAACTGTTATCACTTCCCACACTTCCTCCTCAGAAAAAGGCTTCTCTAATTCTCCAGCTAGTTCAATTGATAAAGATTTGAATTGTAGGTGTCAACACCCAATTTTTGCTCGGTCTTCTCTGTAACCCACTTTTCACATTCCAAATGGCCGATTAAACCTTATCAGCATCTTTAGAATATGCCAAAACCCTAAGAAACTAAATTTCAACTCAAATAGCTTCAAGCCCACCGTCGAATCTACAAGATTCCCTTTCGATGGTCCCGATTGTGCCACATCACCACACCCATTACCCGATCAGACTCCTTCACATGAAACAAAGCCATCTATCATCCAATCACACCAAATTTCAGTCCTAAATTCCTTCATTTCACCATTAGATTCCAATTCAACGTATCTGATACTACAACACTTCTCAAACCAAAAACCTCCGTAATTCAAATCCAAGCCAGTTCGTTGTAAATCCGCCGAACATATTATTATAGACTGCCACGTCAGCTTTAACCGCCGGGTCAGACCATTTTTCTTGTAATGGACCACTTGATTGGCGGCAAAATTTTGCAGTATGTAATTAAACATTTAGATTTTATTGTATTTAATAAAGTATCTTTATTTTTTTAATATAGAAATAGATGTAAATATTAGATGTGGAAGATGCATGTTTATGCAATCAAAGGTACGAACAAATTACCCCTAATAACAATCTAATACTAATAATTAAGAGTTAGAGAGGAGAGAATTAAAGGGGAAAGAATAGTCTTTCGTGTTTTCAAAAACAATAAATAAATAAATAAAAGTTTATGTATAAAAATATGTGTTTTCTTTAAACAAAAAACATGTAATGAAGATTCCTACCACAACTCCGCGCGCTAAACAGTGAATCCTGATCAAAGGCTGAGAGGAGAGAGAGAATATGGAACCTATCATTCCTCTTCTCTCTCTCTCACTCTTACCGTATTTTTATTTTTTTTTTTGGCCTTTCTTATCTTGTTATTTAAGACGTGAGGATCCAGACCATGCCACAACAATTGTGAGAGCAATCCTGTTTTGCTGCGGGTGAGTAATTCTGTACGTAATTGTTCATCCATGGCGCCATCAGACATTAACGTGAACGTGCTTGAGCAATGTAGAGTCGCTCCACCTCCTGGTTCGGTCTCCTCCAAATCACTCACACTCACCTTTTTCGACCTGTATTGGTTACCATTCCCAGGCGCCTCAGAATGCCTTTTCTTTTTTGATTATCCCCATTCAACCACCCATTTCATGGAGTGTCTCCTTCCTAGCATTAAACACTCGCTCTCACTCACTCTTGTGCACTTCTACCCTTTGGCCGGAAGTCTGTCATGGCAACCACTGGATTCATGCAAGCCCGCCATGATTAACTATGTTGATGGTGAATCTGCCGTTTCGTTAACCATAGCTGAGTTCAACAATGGTGGTGATCACTTTCACCATCTTTCTGGCAAACTAGTACGAGAAGTGAATGCATCACATCTTCTTGCACCTCCCTTGTCCCCATCTGGTTCGGTTGTTCCAACCATGGCACTACAAATCACCTTATTCCCCAATACTGGAATATGTCTCGGTATAACCATTCACCATGCAGTCGCTGATGGCAGATCAGCTTCACATTTCATCAAGTCATGGGCCTCAATTTGTAAGGGAGACGCACCTTTGTCCAAGGAGTATCTCCCATTTTTTGACAGGTCTGTGATCAAAGACCCAAAAGGAATCGAGCAGATATACTTGAAGCAGTTAGAAGAATTCTTCAAGTCTACACCTGCAGAGAAATTGGAAGTGATCAATAATATTCCGTCGACAGTTGTAGCACCCAACATGGTTCGAGCAACGTTTGATCTGAATAGAGTCAGCATTGAAAAACTCAAGGAATTGGCCCAACGGCCTCGACATAACAATAAGGACCAACTTACACCCCTTCATCCATCAACTTTTTCTGTGACAGGTGCTTTTGTATCGATTTGTTTAATTAAAGCAGGCTGTAGGTATGATATGTTGAAGCTTCTTGTAGACTGCAGGGCTCGTCTAAAGCCTCCCATCCCCGTAGTGTACTTTGGTAACTGCGTTAGAGGTTTCGATGTGGTGGTAGAGGCATGGCTTTCGGAATTGTTATATCGTTATTTGTCTGGGCAAAAGCCAAAAATCAAGCCCATTGTCCTTGCAGGGTCACCTCGGTTCGGGTTTTATCAGACCGATTTTGGTTGGGGGAAGCCAAAGAAAGTGGAACTCATATCAATTGATGCGACTGGAGCCCTTTTCTTATCAGAGAGCCGTGATGGAGACGGTGGGGTTGAGATTACTTTGACTCTCAAGGAGCAAGAAATGGATGCCTTTGCTTCAATATTTGTTACTTCTCTTAATTCTCTTTAATTTGATCCTCTAGGAGGGAATTGTGTTTCTGGGATTAATTTGTTTGTTGATCCTTTTTCTTCTCTGTCATCAGTTCTTGCTCGTCATGCACCTTCGATGTAGAGGTGACTGGTGAGATAAAATAAAGTTGTACGTACTTATCTGCAAGTGATGAATATGTTTTGTTTGGTAGCAATAGCAAGACAATGCTTGAGTTGGGGAAATGTACTCGGACGAAGCAATCGCCTCTTGTATTTTTAATTGCTTTTTCATTTCATTACCTCTCTTACTTGTATTTTCAAATTGCTTTTGTTTATTAAGACATTAGCCTCCTTTGAAACCTCGAATAGTTTGATCGTCGGAATTCTTGCCCCTGAGACCACATCCCAAGGATTTTGATGTCTTTTGACAAGGGCCGCAAAGGGTCGGGTCCGACCCAAGAATCACGAAGGATCCGAACCGATTAGATCAGTTTTGGTTTCAAGAATAGGAACTGACAGGCCGGTTCTGGGTCCTAATATAGTATCCCAATTATTATCGATTTAGAACCGGTTCCACCCAGTCTCAAACCGATTCAGACCCGACCTGAGTTATATACATATATATATATATATGTATATTATAATCAGGTCTATTAGGTCGGACCCGATTGTCCCAAGAATCAATCTATTCGGTTTTGGGTCCTCAATATTTCATGTCGGATTGGTTCTGGTTCTAGGTGGTCTTGACCTAAACCCAACCCATTAAATTAATATATTTTAATGGTTTTATGAAGAAATATAGTATAGTTAGTTATAATTTCATTAAAAATCATATGTTTAACTATAATTTATAAATTATAATTCTTAAGTTTTAATGTTTTATAGGATGGGAAAAATCCAACTCTCCTATCCAACCATAAAGCATGCATTGGCACAACTTGTAAGTAAAAATATAATTAATAATTATTTATTACTTAAATATTTATTATTTATTATTTATTTCCAAAAATTATCAAAAATAAATAAACATTATATAATATATTCAAGAAAAGTTATTAAAGAAGAAATTTCAATTCCTCTATGGACATGATAAATAGATCCATAGATCTAAAACATATTTAGTCTTTATAGGCAGAGAAAAAATTACATTTTCAATTTTTTTGTTAATTTATATTTTTCCCAAATATCTTTATGAATTTTCCATAAATCTACTGATAACACAAAAAAAAATTATGATTTTGAATGTAAGAAATGTAGATCAACATAAATTTAGGCATTCAAGAATAAAAGAAATCACAAGATATTATAAAAATAAATAAAAAACTTACCTATTTTTGCCATATTTTTTTCAAATTTTGAAAAGTCTTCAAAAAAATTAACGATTCACACTTGTTTCTTGTAAATCTAACACTATAATGAGGTTTGGAGTTTTAGAGTCATTTGGGGGTGAAAGAATGATTATTTCAGGGAAATGAAACTTGCTTTCCCCTTTTATTTTTCTTGGTTTTTACTAGGAAGGGCCTATAATGGTGTAGCTCAATTTTTAGCCATCCCAAGGTCCCTTGATGGCTGTTGGATTGGAAGTCCTCTGGACTGGTTATCTTCCATTTTAGTTCCTGTTCTAATGGTTTCCCATTAATACTTGTATAAACTCCAACTCAACCACTAATAAAAGTGATTAATTATGGTTTTTACCATAAAAAAAGGACCAAGTACAAGGCTGCTTAAACTATTGTGACCGCTTATGAGAGACCCTTCTACGTCAAATTTCATTTTTCTAGACCAATTGCTGCCCCAGTAAATACAGCTCATGGAGGAGGCTCCCACCAATGCGGGGTCTGAGAAGGGATAGATGTACGCAGACTTACCCCATTTGTTCTATATCAATCATGAACAAAAATACAAAATGAAACTAGAGACCCATTACCAATACATGCATGACCTTAACCAACATCAAATAACATTATCCTTGTTAGCTTGCTTGACAGAACAAATCACCTCAATTGATTCATTCTAGAATTTAAACAAATCCAGCCCCCAATCCCTAATAGACATTGTGATAGATGTTAGTGGAGATGAGGAGAAGAATAGAGAAAAATGTAGAGAAAATTATTCAACTCATCCAAAGATATTGATAAGTGCAGCTGAATTGTCCATCCAATAATCATAAACCCTGAATTGACCCCATTTTTTGTAAATTCCATAAGTAAAGCAGGTGATAAAATTGGGCACACCTTCATGGCCTAAGGATGGCCAACAAAAAAATCAGAATGTAAAACTGGAGCAAAATACTAATAAAAGCTACAGATTATCTGCTTAGCTTCCATAAAGAAAATTAAAATCCACAAAATTCTGTACGTGGCCCACTAACCCTATTCCATAGAGATCAATTAGTTACAAAATGTTAAAAACGCCAACGATATGCTCCAAAAGCATTTCTCAGTGTATTCATGATCTAGCACATCTGATCCAAGCAAATACATTATTTATATATGTTTTTTTGAAAACTGTATGGTAAAGTATTTCATTAATAATCTTTAGTGAGAAAGATCCTGATTTTTCAAATACCCATTTTCTTTTGTCTTCCCCTACTCCAGTTGTACCTAAATCATATGGAACCTGGGGCAAACTGACCAAGGAATTCACCTCCCGATCATTTAAGTTTCGCCTAAACTAGAGGGGTTCCAAATACAAAAACCATTTTGCCTCTCTATCTACCACTGAAGCATCCTTGTTAGTAGCAATCTTTCCCTAACAAAACATTGTTGACTTGTTTTATTGATCTAATCCCCATACCTCCATTAGCTCTGGAACAACGAACATTTTTCCAATTCACCAGATGGCATCTTGACTCCTTCCACCCCCTCCACTGAAAGACTCTTCATCTTTTTTTCTAACACAACAACCCTATTTGTCAAGATTGGGGATAGAGAGAGATAATAAATTAACTAGAAGGGAGGATAATATGCTTCTAACTAAAGTATGTGGTCTTTCAAGAGGCCAACCATCTACTTTTTCAATATCACTCCCAAGTAGAATTAGATTTGTAATTTTCACCCAGAGGCATGCCTAGGTACTTTGTTCGGAGATTACCAACTTTGAAGCCCCAATTAGCAGCCCATGCTTCCAAGTTTTCAACATTTCCAACTACCACTATTTTACTCTTTTGGATATTAATATGAAGACCCGTGATCACCTCAAACCATCTTAATACTACTTTAACATTCCAAATTTGCTCCTAGGAAGTGTCGTCTGCAAATTGGAGCAAAGAAATCTCCACTTCCCCATTCTCTACTTTGAAGCCTTCCATTAGCCCTCCTTGTCTAGCCCTCTCTACAGGTTTGGCAAGTGTTTTTGTCACACACATAAAGAAGAGTGGGGAGAGGGGGTCCCCTTGTCTTTGACCCCTAGAACTCCAAAACTGCCTAAAAGAAATCTCATTCACCAATACTGAAAAAGATGATGAAGAGAGACACACTTTTATTCAGTTTCTCCGTTTCTCACTGAACTCCATCCTCTTCAGCATGTAATCCAAGAATTTCCAATTCACATGGTCATAAACTTTCTCCGTATCCACTTTGCACAACAGCCTCGCCCATCCACTTTTCCTCCTTGAGTCTATTATTTCATTTGTTATGAGCACTCCATCCACAATCAATCTACCTCCAATGAATGTACTTTAGGATTCAGCAATCAAATTTGATACAACCTTTGCCATTTTGTTTGCCAAAAGTTTTGCTAATATCTTGTAGAAGCTACTCACTAGACTGATGGGTCTAAAATCACTCAACTTCACTACCCCACTTTTTAGGAATTAAAGTGATAAAAGTGTGATTTAAGCTTCTTTTAAGAGCACCATTTTCATGAAACTCTCTTAATGCATTCATTACTTCTTGTTTCACCACTCCCCAACATTTCTTATAAAATAGCATTGTAAACCCATCAAGCCCTAGGACCTTATCCCCCTCTAAAACTGTTATCACTTCCCACACTTCTTCCTCAGAAAAAGGCTTCTACAATTCTCCAGCTCGTTCAACTGACAAAGACTTGAATTGTAGGCCATCTAAACCTGGTCTAGTCCTCCAAGTTTCCTTATAGAGATTCTCATAATATTCAAGAATGTATTTTTGAATCTGATCTTCTTCCTCTATTTCAGCCCCCTGAATCTCTTTTTTTTTTATTATTATATTCTCCTTTCTTCTAGCACTTGCCATTTTATGGAAGAATTTTGTTTCATTATCGTCATTCTTCAACCAAAGACATCTTCATCTCTTCGTACATTTGATTTCTTCTTTTTCTTTCTTCCACACTTATGGAAGTACCCTCAAAAGACATACTATCCCACCATTTTTCCATCAAATCTGTGAATCCTGGTTTTTCAAACCAAGCATGCTCAAACCCAAATGTAGTCCAACCCCCCCGTCCCTAAATTCCCACAGTTCAACATGATAGGTGAGTGATCGGATAAGGTCTGAGAAGAGCTTCCAAGGACATTGGGGAATTTTTCCTCCCAATCTAAGGATTCCACAAATCTGTCTAACTTTACTAGAGTTGCTTCTTCTCGGTTTTTTGTCGAGGTATATTTCCCTCCTATCATCAAGAGATCCACCAACTCCCATCTCCTCATAAACTCAACAAAACCCCTCATTCCCCTTCTATTTTRTCTGCATCSATTCTTTTCATAATAGAATCTTATTGTATTGAAATCCCCCCCAATAATCCATGGTTGATCCCAATTTATCCTACTACCATCCAACTCCTCCCAAAAAGAATCCCTCATTCCCTCTTCGTTTGGTCCATAGACCACTGTTAGAATCCACCCCAAATCGTTTTCCTAGGACTGCATCAAGAGGGAAATAGAGAACTGGCCTACAATACTATCTCCCACATTCACAATATCAATATCCCAAACAAACCAGAATTCCCCTAGTTGTACCTGATGAAGGGAAATTTGGCCCGACCTCGCCATCACTCGACGCGTGGCAAAAGCAAACAGCTCGAGGCAACAGAGCGCCCAAAACACAAGCACCAAAAGAAAAA